AATCAGAGAGCCAGGGACAGGCTGGCACCCCTCCCACTTTTCCTTGGGATTCCCCACACCTGGAATGGCCTGTTCACACCTTGTGTCCCACACCCACAGGCAGGGCACAGGAAAGGCTGTGCCCTTTCCTAGGTGAGCCCTTGGCTTTAGCTATGCCATGCACTGCACCCTCACACCTGGCTTGGCCACACCTCTGCTCTCTGAATTTCATCCATTGGTTTTCCCCGTTCTGCCAAAATTTTGTACAGAAGATAAACTCTGTATTTATGTATTTCTGTATGTAATGTAACGCATGTATGTAAAAATACAGCATCTGTGACTGGCACAGGGTGCCCAGAGCAGGATCCCTGGCAGTGCCCAAGGCCAGATGGGACAGGGCTTGGAGCACCCTGGGACAATGGGAGGTGCCCCTGCCATGGCAGGGCTGGCACTGGATGAGATTTAAGCTCATTTCTGACCTAAACCATGCCCAGGTTCTGTGTGACCTGCACCCCCTGTGCTTTCCCTCCACATGGGTGTATGGATGTGTCTGAATGGCACAAAGGGAAAAACCTCAGGCTCTGTTCACCCTGCAGGATTGGCCATGGAATGTGCAGCACCTGCAGCTCTGGCACAGCTCCAACCCACCTGTGAAACACACACAGAGCTGCCAAAGGAAGGGCACAAAGGGGCAGGGCAATGGGGGCACACCTGCAGCACGGAGCCCTTTGTGTGCTGTGCCCTCCCAGCACCAAACCCGGCTGCAGGGAGCACATTCCCCTCTCCAGGGACAGCGAAGGGCCTGCAGCAGCCAGGAATGCCAGGAACGCCTCCAGGTGCTGCCCTGGCCTCTGGCCCAGCCCAGCCCCTTACCTTGGCTCTGCTTTCCTGCATTCCTGTGCTGGCAGGCCGGGGGGTGGCAGGACAGGCTCGTTGGGAGGCACTGGCAGGGCTGCAGGGTGCTTTGGAGGCACTGGCAGGGCTGCAGGGTGCTTTGGAGGCACTGGGTGCTTTGGAGGCACTGGGTGCTTTGGAGGCACTGGCAGGGCTGTTGGGTGCTTTGGAGGCACTGGCAGGGCTGCAGGGTGCTGCTTTCAGAGGGGCTGCGTGCTGGATGGGGGCAGTGGAGCCACAGGGGTTGGCAAGGCAAGGTGAGGATTTCTTGGACGTGGAAATGAAATGAAATAAAATGGGAAAAAAAAAAAAAAAAACCCAAAAGAAAATCAGCATGGCAGGGAAATAAAATGGGATGGGCGACATTAAATGGGATTAGAAGGTGCAATACAGAGCTGGGTGTGGGGTAGGGACTGCCAGGGCTGTACATAGAGAAATAACCAATTTCAGGGTTAGAAAGTGATTCTGTTCCTCATCTTTAACTCTTCACCCGCTGCATTTCCCCTCAGCTTGTCCATTATCCCACTCAGGCACTAACCAGGATAATGGGCAGCTGAGCTAAACCTCCTCCAAATTACCAGTGTGACAGATATTGTTTAACTTCTGGGATTTACCCATTACTAAACTCTGTTCCTCACCCACAACACAACACAGCATCTTTTTGGGGTTATCCTGGGCAAGCCAGGAGCTGGATTTGATGATTCTTGTGGATCCCTTCCAACTCAGGATATTCTAGAATCTGGATTATTTAATTTAATGTTTTAATTCCACGTTTTGCTCTTTTCACAGTTATGCCTGTCCCCAGTGCAGTTTTGAGCCTGCCCCAAGGTCAGCTGCTGCTTTTCAGCCCTGGGCTGATAAAATGCTTTCTCCAACCTCCCCCCCAGGCCCATGAGCCACGTGCTTGATTCAGATTTGGATCATTTCCTCACCCTCAAAGAACCCATGGATTGCACCATCCAAACCCAGGGGAGGGAAACAAAAATAAAAACAAATTTATTGTTTGAAACAAATGGAAAAATGGAACATAATGGGAAGGTTTCCTGAGAGGCAGGAGGGCAGGAGAGGAGCCAGAACATGGACAGGTGTCACCCCTGGTTTTGGTTTTTAGCTTACCTTGGGTTTCTTTTCATCAGCTTCGGTCCCTTCCTTGTCAACACGACCTGACAGATGGAAACACACAGTTACACCTCCTGGGACTGGTCAGAAACTCCAGACCCTGCTGGGGGTGCTCCCTGTCCCTCAATACTGCTCTCAGAGATGTGACAGTGCCACCACCTGCTGCAGAAACCCCTGCACACCACATTCCTCCTGAGCCAGCAGATGATGCTGTGTTAGTCAGCACTGGGGACCAGACACGCCAGGGCGGTTTGTGAGGGAGAATTCCGCCCAGATTTCCACCCAGCTCCTGCAGGATCCATCCAGTTCAGCACAGAAAGTTCCCTCCAACCCTCTGGAACACCCACTTGTTCTAACGATTACATAAACACAGACCCAAACTGGAGGAAGCCCCAGTCCAGCAGCGCTGTGATCTCATTTAAGGGGTTCTTCAGTTGGTGTTGCAGAGCACTTTTACCCCTGGCTGCTGTTAATTCCCATCTCTCCTGGCAGGCTGCTCTCTGCCTCCCAGCACCGTGCCCCTTCCACCTGGCTCAGTCTAATCAGGAGATCAGGAATGGGGAGGGGATGAAGTTTGTACTCCGAGGCACTCACAACAAAGCCATTTTCACCCCCATCTTCAACTAATTGGGAGGAGAAGCTGCTGGTGTTCTCCCCAGTGCTGGGAAACTCATCCTGGGGGATCAGCCCTTTCCTGATGACATGAATGCTGTTAATCCAGCCCTGACCCCTCCCAAATTCAGCTGAACCGGAGCCAAGCAGCCACCAAGCATCTCTGCCTTTAAGGGAATACCATTAAATAATTGAACTTTTCCTCCTGAATCAGAGGCTGGCTGGCTCTGGGCAGTGTCTCCCCACCCTGCTGTGGTGCCAGGCTCCAGTGCAAGCCATGCCAGTGCCTGCAGCACACGAGGGAAGCTGCACGCTGCAGATCCCACAGGGAACAAAAGGAGAAATGAGTGATGAGCTCTGGCTCCAGGGGAAAAAGCTCCATCCACAATTCCTGCCTGAGCCCCAAGCCCAGCAGCATCCCCAGGCCAATGGGAGCAGCCAAGCCAGCCTGTGGGATGTGTGGAGCTGGGGGAAAAGGCAGAGCTGCCCCCAGGACCTGGCCTGGAGAGCCAGGGCTGAGGTACAACAGGTGAGACACCAGCACGTCATGTCCTGCTGCCCTGGCTCCTCACCACAGCTCCCAGTAACCTGCCTTTGGCCACTGAGCTGGGCCCCTGGGACACTCCTGAACCCAGGAGAGGTGGAGGACACAAAGGAAAGGTCTAAGGGATGCTCGAGCACTGAGTGGTGAGCTCAAAGCTCTACCCAAGGCTGCCCTCCCAGCCCCACACAGTGTTCCAATGCCTCACAGGCAGCTCCTGCTGGGCCCCCAGAGCCAGCACTGAGCTGGCACACCCAGGGACACCCATCCACAGCTGGGGTGGCAGCAGGATGCTTTGGAAGAGCAGTGGACATGCCTGGCAGTGGGAAAAGGCCCTGCTGCCTCCAGCAGCAGTCAGCAGCGATATTCAAGGGGAAAGTACAAGAAACAGGAGCAGCGTGGGAGCTTTTCCATGGTTAGACCTGCCATCCTTGCCTGTTTTCCTCCTCCCTCCTCTTTAGGGAAGCCAGTCCCAAGAGTTACTGGAGCAGACATGCAAACCAGATGGCACGTGTCCTGCTGGAACAAGCTGCACACGCCCGGTGAGCCCCACGCCACCATGCCAGAGCCACGTCCGCGTCCTCCTCTTCTCAGGTGGGACTTAAGGCGCCCACCCAACAGATCCAAGGGAATCAAAACAAAAAAACAGGTGAAAAAAGCATGATTAGGGACACGGCAGCACCATGCAAGGCACGGGGAACCGCAGCACAGGGGTCTGTCAATCCAGGCCAGGATTGAGTGAGGAGGGAGGGCAGGCAGGGAGCAGCAGCGCTCTGGGTCAGTCACAGCTCCAGGCCAGCTCCAAGCAGCAGCAGCAGCAGCCCCGGTGGCAGCACTGCAGTGCTGGAGCACACACCTTTGAGCAGAGGGACACGGCTGCCCTTGTCCGTGGCAATCCCAGCCGGCTTCCTCCGGGGCGACCGGCGGGCCCCCGAGGCTGCCACAGCCTCTCCCAGGGCAGCACCTTCATCCTTCACACCATCTTCTGTCTCAGCAGCGAGTTTGGCCGTTTCCAGCACGGGACCAGAGTCTTCTCCCTCCCTGGGCTCAGCCTCTTTTTGGGGGGCACTTCCAGAAGGCTCTGGCAGGGGGGTGTCTGCACCTCCTTCTCCCCCCAGCAGCTCTCGCTTCTCCTCTTGGTCCTCTCCTGCTTTATGTGACTCAGCTTCGACCACAAGTGCCTCTCCTGGGGTGTCTCTGAGGACACCTTTGGACTTGTTTTCTCCATCAGATTCTTCACGAGTCTCCTGGGCAGCTGCTGGCCACGAGCCCTTTTCAGGTCCCGGAGAAACGCGCTGATCCACGAGGGAAGGCAAACCCTGCCCAGGAGTTTCATCAACATCCCGCTCCTCATCCCTCTGCCGTCCACCAGAACCTTCCTTGATGGTGGCTCTGGCACACAAAGGTCCATCCTTGAGGTCACCTGTGCCTCCTGCTCCTGCCAGGCCCAGCTCTGGCTCTGCACTGCTGCCTCCAGAGCCTTGGTACATGTCCAGGGGGATGGGGATGGTGACCTCGATCCTGGTGGGAGCTGCTGCTGGAGCCTTGGCTTCACGGGGCAGGGGCGGCTGCTGAGGGCCCAGCCCCTGCTCTGGGGGCTGGCTGGCACCTTTCTCTGCCTCTCCCACACGCTCCTGAGGGCCAGGCTGGAGCTTGGCACAGCTCGGCTCGCCCGGAGCTGGAGACGTGGGGTGTGAAGCATGGGCAAGAAATTAGCACAGGCATGTCAAACATCACGGAACGGGAGAGATTCAGCATTTCCACTGGCAACCAAGGGTAAAAGAGAGTCCCACCCCGCCCCACTGAACAGACAGCTCACTCCTGGAGTGGCTTTTGCCTTTAGAGAGCTCTGATCCCCATGGGAATCAGGAACAGCACCTGAGATCAGACTCCTGCTGGGTTCACCCTGCACTCCTTGAGCTGGTTGAGCTGTAGAGGTCTCCAGAAGCCAGGAACATTCCCATTTTCCCCAAAACCACCACTGGGCCATAAGTCTGGTGCCTCTCCTGGGGTGTCTCTGAGGACATGCCCATTCTCATGCCCAATGAGAACATTCCCATTTTCCCCAACACCACCACTGGGCCATCAGTGCCCATCTCTTCTTGCCCCAAGGGCCAGAGCTCTGCCCTCCCTCCTGACCTCACAGAGCCCTGCTGGCCTCACCTCCCCTTGGGAAATGCTCAGGCACACCCAGCCCTGGCTTCAGGGCTCAAACCAGCTCTGCCCTCCCTTTGGTCATTCCCACGGCCCAGGAGCTTGGGAAGGGCACTCCCATGCCCTGCCAGAGCAGGGCAAGGACTGGGGAGAAGAACGTGGCTGCAGCCACAGGGCCACAGCAGTTTGGGACCCCTGAGAGCTCCAGTGCTGCTCTCTGCCATCACTTGGGCTGGGTGACATTTGAACCCCAGAACCTGAGGCCACAGAGACAAAGATTTGTCTGATTCTCTTTTCTTTTATGGTGTGTGTGTGTGAAAGAGGGGATTCTGTTCTGTCACTGCTCTGTGTGTGACACAGATCTTTACAATCCCACCCCACAACTGCTGCAGGAAGCCAGGTCTTCAAATTGAGCTGGAACTTTTCTATTGGAAACGCTTTCAGCTGAAGGAAAGATGCCCTGAGCAACGGAGGATTCACCTGGGTACATTGCTTTGGAGCCACCAGCCCTGTAAGGATGTGCCTCTTGCATTATGAGCTGGTTCAGCTTCAAGGACTCTTTGTCTGAGCACTGATCAGGTAAAGAGCCTAAATCAGAGCCCTGAGATCACAACTGTGGCTTTGGCAGATTAACAAACAAGACGGAAACAAGAAAAGATGAAGTCAAGACCGACTTGGTCTTTCATCAGTGTCCTTCCTAATTAAAGAGAATATCACAGTTAAGTGAAATAACCAACCCAAGACCTTGTTTGTGACAGCTGAGAGATGCCAGGACAAGGCAGAAAGGGCTTGGTAAAAACCTGGTGAGAAACAGCACTAAAACCAGGGCAGAGAGAACTTCAACCCCTCCACTAACAATCCTGATTTCTTTTTTGTAATGGAGCCACTATTTCATATTTAGAAGAGCCGACAGTCCAAAAACCCCTGGCCAGGCAAGCAAAGGTTTTATTCTAATTGCAGGGAGCAGAGTGCACAGAATTGTGCTCATCTCTGTGTGGAAAGCAACAACAACCTGAATTCTGCCCTGAGCTGAGAAGGCAAAACCTATTTATTCTGTAAAAGACATGGATGTCTAAGTGCACTAATGGAGCCATGAAGAGGAAAGACACTGCTCAACTGCATTTGTTGTGTTTGCTGCACAGCAAACTGCTTCACAAAATGGCTTTTGAGTAAGATTTTAAGCAGCACAATAAATCAGTGCTGTGGGGTGCAGTGCAGGCAGGACAGAAACAGCACAGGGACTCTCAGCCCCTAAGTCGTCCCCATGGAATCAAACCAGCACTGGGGGCTTTGGGAAAACCAATTTTCCACCAAGTCTGAACTGAGGGGAGTCAAGAGAAACTTTCCAGGTAGCCAAATGGTCCCTGGGTGGTTTTCAGCCCTTCCAAGCAGACACAAAATGAATGCTGTAAGAACAGAACAGAACAGAACACTCACTGCCCACTAGGCCTGCCTTCCTCACCCACATTCCCCAAGACTGGGATGAGGAGAAAACTCCCTTAATGTTGAAGCCAGGGTATGAGTGAGCAGATTTGAGTCCTGTTTTACTCTAGAAAGTCACAGTAATTAAACAATTTGCTGGTTTCATGTGGGAGAACAGGGTCTGCACTGCCTCTGCTCAATCTCATCAGCTCCTCTGGCCCCAGCACATCCCAGCTCTGTTCATCAGCTTTCCCAGCCTGGAGAACACCCTGGTTTTACAGCTGGACAAACAAACACCGTGACTTTGACCATCTGAGAGGGAAATATGGTGTATGAGGAGCTGGAATGAGTGTGCTGGAACATCCCACGCGTGCATGGCCCTGCTCTGCCAGGAGCAGGCAGAACTGCACAGCTGCAGAGCAGGGCACAGCATTTCCTCACAGAACAGAGCCCCCAAGGCACCACCAACCAGCTGCACACGTGGGCAGCGCCAGCTGCTGCCAGGGGCAGACAATTCACCCACCTTGAGTGGCATCTCCTGCAGCGTGGTCCTCCAGGTTGGGAGTGGCTCCCACGCCCGCCTCCTCAGCTGCTCCCAGGCCGGAGAAAGAAGGGGAAAAACATGATCAAAACAAGAGTTAAGGTGAAGTGCGTGGAGGATGAATGTGCCTGCCTGCTGAGGCTGCCCTGCAGAAGGAGCAGGATCTCTGCTGTACCACAGAAAGGAGCAGGATCTCTGCTGTACCACAGGAAAGGAAATCTCCCCACACCGACGATGGATCTGGGTAGCTCTGTTCAGCCCCTGCTCTACAGAGCAGAGCAGTGTTTCACCAGCTTCCACATCCTAAATGGCAGGTTAGCACAAGCTCTTCCAGGCAGAAAACAGGCTGTTAAGGAGCAAGGAAACTCGTGGATGCACATCCTCTTCTACCCCCACCTGGCCTTTACATGGCCAGCAGCACTCCTGGGAATGTCTCTTACCTGAGCTCACCTTCTTGGTGTCTGTGACCCACCTGTGAACCCTGCCAAGGCTGTGTGAGACCAGCAATTCCAAGCCTGACACAAAGCTAGAGAAATCCTGAACTTCAGCACTACAGGTGCATCAGAGAAGCATGGTTTTCTTCACAGTGATGATGGTTTGTCTCCACCAGCATTTTTTTCAGTTCATTCTATAGCTACTTTCAAACTAGCTTAAACAGTGATATTGGTATGCCACAGTTCTCCAGTCACACTAGCCCTTCTTCTGTTTTCCCCGTTATTTTCCAGGCAGTTCAGGATACACTGGGACAGTCAGATCTTGCACCAGAGCCCCTGTGTTACAGCCCAGGGCTCTGCCAGCAGCTCAGGGACTGGATGCAGCACAGAAATTTCACTGCTGTGAGTTTGTTTCAGTGCTTGGCACTGGCAGAAGCCCTTTTCTACCTGCTGCTTTTCTCAGGTCCTGTCTGATGCTTCCACTGGCTATGGCACAGGGGACACATCCCCATTTCTCACACAGACCTGCCCTCCCGGATCCTGCTCTCCCACACACAGTCCCTCCCTGCTCTGCCTCTGGAAGGCCCCATCCTTCCCTGGAAAACCAGGGAAAACCAGGCTCAGGTGCAGTGAGTGCCCACAGGGCTGAATCAGTCCCTTCACTCCCTCTGCATTACCCTCAACAGCGCTGCTGCAGTGGCCTGGTTTTCACCTGCCACTCCAAAGACACCACGGGGCTGGGCAGAGCCCAGGAGCTGCAGGACAGGCACCCAGGGGCTGCTGGCACAGCAGCAACCCAGAACTGCAGGTGGGAGCCTGGAGGTGGGAGCCAGAGCCACCACAGAGCCACCAGGCAGAAGGATGGTCAGATGTGGAGCAGAGGAAGAGAGAAGAAAAGGCTGCGAGCTCCCCAAGGATGGGGAAGGCAAGAGGACAGCTCTGAGTGAGGAATGCTCTGCAGAAGAAGGAAGCAGCACCGGGAGCAGCGTCCCTGTGAGAGGTTTGGTGGTGCTGTCTCACAGCACCGACCAGGCCAGCTCTCTGCTCTGCCTGCAGCAAGAGATGAAGCTGCACCTTGGTCTCCCTCACCTGTGGTTCCTTCTGGGATCTCCCCGTGCTGTTCCGCACCACCCTGCTCCTCGTGGTCTCCTTCCTCCACTAAAGGTGCTGTGGCATCTGAAAAACAACACAGCTTTCACACAGCTGCTGAGGGGCAAAGCCCTCTGGAGGCCAGGACGGGCCTGAAGAGCTTTCTGCTGCTCAGAGAAGCACTCAGAGCTGGTGGAGGGAACAACTGAGAATGGCACAGCAAAGGCAGAGCCACAGGGACACCGTGAGCTGCCCCCTGGCACACAGCGTGCCACAATGTTCTCCCTAGGCTTCTGAAGGATTTTTGGCCTTTTTGTCCAGAAATCCAGCACTGAGAGCAGCCCCTGGTGCACAGCAATCCTGCATGGAGACACGGCTGGGCTGGAGCAGGACAGAACAGCTCCCCTGACTGCACCAAGCAGCCCAGGGTGGCTGCACCATGCTCTGGGACACAGGGACACCCAGCTCCACCTGGCTGCTTGTCCTGGCAGCCCCACTCCAACTGCAAAGCAGGATAACATCCCCTCCTGCACCAGATGGGTTCTGTGTCCTGATTTCCTGAGGCACTTTCCCAACAATCACTCAGCCCACGCCTCCAGTGGGACAGGGCTGGGACTGCTCAGCATTTCTGCCCAGCTTTCATTTCTTTTCAGAATAATTCTGCCAGCTAAAGCCTCTACCTCACCTCTTCAAAGGCAGATTCTTGGGATTAAAGCAGCAAAAAGTGAAGGTAATTACAACAGTGAGCAAGTCTCTGGAATGAGAGCCTTTCTACCCACGAGGCACTCAGGACCTGGGGAGCACAGTGACACAGAGCTGTGTCACTCCACACAGGACTGCACTGCCAGGGCCTTGCAGAGCCCCTGCAAAGGCTGCAGGACACAAACCACCAGCATTTTCCTGAGAACAAGTCACCTTTCTGCTTTCCAGCCCCCTCTGCACCTCATCCACCTCCTTCAAACACCACTGGCGATGAGACAACAAAGGGGATTCTCCTCCTGAGAAACCCCACCAGGACACGGCACAGGGACTCTGTGGTGAGGTTGACCACGACCCCATCCATGGTGGTTCCCAAGCAGAAAGTCAAAGAGCTCCCACCTTCCGTAGTTGGGGTGCTCTTAGCGTCAGAAGTTTCAGAAACAGGCTCATCCGATCCATCATCGACTGGTATCTGAAGGGGATAGCCTGGAAAACATTCAAATACTTACAACAAGTCCTTGGCTATCACCTGGGGCCTGGGGTTACCAACTCTCATTGCCCAGAGCCACAGCTGCAAGAAGCTGCAGCTGGAGAGTGAAAACCACCTGAGCTCAAAGCAAGCAAAGCGTGAAAATGCCAACCAAAAGCGCCAGGGTGACCACCAAAAGGAACAAAAGGAAACAAAAGAAAAGCCCGGTGAACCGGGCAGGCAGAAACAGCAAAGCATGGCACAAGCAGGCAAGGAGATCTCAGCAACATAAGAGGAAAGATGTGCAGCTTCTGAGCCTCTGTTGTCCTCTCCCTCCCTCCCAGAGCAGGCTGAGCACTGCCAGGACTGCAAACCAGCCCGTGGCTGTGACAGGGCTGGAGCAGGACAACGTTCTGTGCCAAGAAACGGTGGCAAAAGTCCTCTGGAAGAGCAGGGCAAGAGGCACAAGTCTCCCTTCAGCAAGGGTGCGGGCAAATCAAATAATGAGAGCTGGGAAAAGTGATGTGGGGAAGAAGAAGCGAAGTCCCTGGGAGCCTGTGGCGTGTGAGACAAGCTGAGAGGAGCTGTCGGACCGCAGTGCTGCAGAGCCAGGATGAATGGAGGCTCTGGATGCTCTCCAGGACAGAGGCCATCCATTTATCAGGCCAAAGAGGCGTCCAAAGCACCTCAAGAAAAGGAAATTAAGATGATGTTTACATGGAGCATAGCCAGGAGTGAGTCCCACCAGGTTTGCTGGCAGTGCGGGTTTCCAAGCTCAGCTGTGGAGCACGGTGGAATGAGAAAGGAAAAACTTCTGAAGGAATGCAGGTCTGAAATATGGTGAGGAAGACTCTGGCATGGCCCCCACTCCCAGAGCTCCCTGCTCAGCTGTCCCCAGGTCCCTGTGCAGGTGAGGAAAGCAGGCAGCAAGCTGTGACCCCAAATAAGTGACCCCAAATAAATCACCCCAAATAAAACCAGTGCTGCGTTTCCTGAGCAAACTGAGGAGTGGACACAAACACACACTCGCAAAGCTGCAGCAGTGGGATCCCCCCTAGGCTGGGCTTGTTCTGCTCCACGGACAGTGAGATCCACGAGCAGCATTCTGCCATCACTGTGCATGTTGGAGCACCTTGTGGGCTCCCTGGGGTGCCCTGGCTGAGCCTCAGTGTCCTTCCAAGGTCCCCTCACACCACCGGGGTGTTCTCCCTCTCCCTCCTTGGCCCAGGCAGGTCCTTCAGCACCTCCTGGACGTGCTCACCTGATGAGAAGTGTTTTTCCTGGCCAGGTGCGTGATCCTCCATCATGGTGGTGTCCTGAGGCTGCTCTGCCACCTCTCAGCAAAGGTACCTGAAAAGGGAGAGTAAAAACTGACACCCATTAGGCAAAACCTGACCCAAGAGGAGCCAAGGGAAGGTCTGGGCAGTCCTGCACAAGCAGAAGCACGTGTCAGTCACTGCATCCCTCACAGCACACACAGAGGCAGCTCCTGCCAGCTGCATTCAGGTTCCAGGAGTATTCAAGATGTGCCAAGCAAAACGAGCACCCTGGTGCACCCAGGACGCTGCTCTGGCACAGCTCTGCCCCTGAGAGCAGCAGGGTAAGTGCTGGCTGACTCCTGTGACGCTCCAAACTCTGCATTTCCCAGTTTAACCCGTCTGCCAAGAGCTGGGTTTGCTGGTGAGGGGTGATGCTGCTGTGGGAGGGGATCCTTCCATCCCTGTGGGCACACCAGCAGGGATACACAGCTACCACAACACACCCATCACCTTAAAAACCACCCAAAAGTGACAAATGGGGGGACACCAGGACTGTCCAGAGATGGATTTCGGACTCTTTGGGGAGAGGGTCTGGCTCAGCTGTGGCTGTGAGGGGACAGCACAGCCCCTGCTCTAACCCCAAACCCCTCCTGCAGGGCTCAGAGAGCCCCAGCACAGCACAGAGCAAAGCAAACAGGGCAGGGGTGGGAGCAGGAAGGTGCCAAACCTCCCAGCCCTCGATCTGCAAAAGGAAATGAAACCTCCAACAACCATTATCTGCCCCCAGCGCAGGGTGCTCTGTGCTGGATGGACAGACAGAGCTTTTAGCTAAGAGCTGGTTAATTACAGCCACTGGCAGTGATTAATAATCAGCTATTAGAGTGATCACATGCTCAGCAGTGGAGCTCAGGTTTCCAGCAGCAAGGAGGAAACTTGTGGTTTTGTCTGCTGGCAATAAATTAACTGCATGTATGGAACCACACAAGGGCCAGTAACCAGATCTCTCACCCGGCTTTTTTTAAGCCTTAGCAAGATGACTCTGCAATTTAATTACTGCCTTAGAGAGCTACAAAGCCATTGGACAGGACTGGAGAACCAAGGCTGCACTGCAATGAAATCACCCATAAAAATGGAGGTATAAAACAAGAAAGAATTAAGTATCTAATTTTTGCTCTAATTGGTGGGCCCTAATTTTTTGGACATATGGCTGCCAAGTGCTGAAAGGATCATATGGATTATATCCAGGCCCCATTTTGCTGATGCTTGATATTATTTACAGCACTGAAATACTAAAACATTGCAATTCTCCTGGGCATGCAGGGCTGCAATCTGGGGGAAACATTGCAATTCTCTATGGCTGCAGCCAGGGGAAAACCTTGCACTTCTCCTGGGCATGCAGGGCTGCAACCTGGGGAAGTCCTTGCACTTCTCCAGGACATGCAGGGCTGCAGCCTGGGGATGTCCTTGCATTTCTCCTGGGCATGCAGGGCTGCAGCCCAGGGAAAACATTGCAACTCTCCTGGGCATGCAGGGCTGCAATCTGGGGGAAACCTTGCACTTCTCCTGGGCATGGAACCTGGGGAAGTCCTTGCACCTCTCCAGGACATGCAGGGCTGCAGCCTGGGGGTGTCCTTGCATTTCTGGGCATGCAGGGCTGCAGCCCTGGTGCTGTGGTTCAGGGCTGGTGCCCCCTGCCTGCCCTGGCCAGCCAGTGCCAGGGCTCTGCAGCACAAAGGCAGGGCCAGGGCAGTGCAGAGCAGCTGGGATGCTGCTCCCTGCCTGTGCTGCTCAGGGCCAGCCCCCACTCCCACCATGGCACAGCACAATGCGGCTCGGGAGGATGCTGACATTAATTTTTCAGAGACGATCTGAGAGGAAGAGCTGCCTCCCTGTTACAGGGGAGAAAACATGACTGAGAGCACGCAGGTCCATCACTGAAACACTCAAAGCCAGCTGCAGCCCAGGGAACGCCCCAGTGCCCCTTCCTTCAGACACAGAGGCCTGGATGGCTCTGGAGAGCAGAAACATCTCCCAGCAGATGGAGCACAGCATCCTATGCTGCTCCTGAGAGCCCCCCGTGCCCCAGCCACCCTCAGAGGGGAGCAAAACCACCTCCAGCTGGCACGGGAGGGAGGGAAAGCCTCAGCTTGGCCTTGGGTTTTCACTCAGGTAATGAACTCCTATGACCAGAGAGAATTTATATCTTATTGAAATTCTAAATTCCAATTCTCAAAGAGGGACTGAAAATTCTGAAAGAAGCCCACAGTGATAATCCTCTTTGTTTTTCCTTTTGAGTGGGGGAAGGGGAAATCCTTCTCGGAGAAAAACATAACATCAAGGGGGAAAAAAAAAATATTCTAAAATATTCTTAAAAATGTAAAACCAGCCCCGCCTTGAAGCAACGGCTCAGTGATGCATAATTAGAGCAAAGAAAGCTGCACAGAGATAAACTTGAACAGCACCCTCCTCGTGGCAGATAAAGCACAAACCCTCCAAAGAACCTTATCCATCCCCAGCAGAACCATTCTCCTTAACCAGGGACACTATCTAAAAAGCAACAGCCCATCCCATAATTAACAGCTCCTCCACACCTCACATTTCCCAGACTTCCTGGTGTTGGAAGGGAACTCAAAGCCCATCCAGTGCCACTCTGCCATGGCAGGGACACCTTCCACTGTCCCAGATGCTCCCAGCCCCAATGTCCAGCCTGGCCTTGGGCACTGCCAGGGATGCAGGGGCAGCCGCAGCTGTGCCAGGGCCTGCCCACCCTCACAGGGGAGAAAATCCTCCTAAAATCTACTCCAAACTATCTCAGTTTGAATCCATTCCCTTGTCCCATCACTGCAAGTGCTTGGAAATACTTCCCAATATTCCCATTTCTCATAGATGTTGGAAGGCCACAATTAGCTCAGCCCAAATCTGCTCTCGGTCCCCAGCCCCACATCCAGATTGCAGCAGCAATTCCTGCCCTGCACCAACGAGGCAGCAGGGCTGGGCACAGCCAGGACATCCCAGAAGAGCCCTGGGGAACCCAAAACCCCCACACAAAGCCTCCAGCACCCTCAGAGCCCAAACTCTCAACCCTTGGGCACAAAGCGGGAGGGAGATAAAGCCCAGGCTGCAGACAAGGTGAGCCCAAGGTGCCCCATGGAGGAGAGGGCAGATCCAGGAGCACCCAATCCGTGCCAGGCACCACCAGCCCTGGCACAAAGGAAGGGGGAACAGCCCCCCAGAGCCCCTCAGTGGGCACAGCACAGGGGACACAGCCAGGACTGTCCCCAAGCAGGGCAGGGACAGTCCCAGGATCACAAGGCTGGACCAGGGGCTCGATTTACACAGCCCAGCCCAAAATAAACCCGGCCTTGGCAGAGCTGCCTGCGGGTGCTGCAGGGGCCCCGGGGCACAGGGGCAGGAAAATACAGGAAAAGGAAAGGAAAAGGAAATTTCAGCAGCAAGAGGGTGAAACACCCGGGGAGATGCTGGCTGGAATTGCACACTCTGGGACTCACCACTGCCCCACCAAGCAGCTCCACCCCTCATGCAGCCACAAAATACCCTCAAAATACCAAAAAAAATACCCTCAAAATACCCAAAAAATACCCACAAAAAACTGACAAAATGTCCACAAAATACCTTCAAAATACCCCCCAAAAATATCCAAAAAATACCCCAAAAAATACCAAAAAAAACCCCCAAACCCACCCAAAAATACCCACAAAATACCCTCAAAATACCCAAAAAAATATCCACAAAAAAACTGACAAAATATCCACAAAATGTCCACAAAATACCCACAAAATATCTTCAAAATACCCCCAAAAATACCCCAAAAATACCCCCAAAAAAACCCCCTAAAAACACCCAAAACTCGCCCAAAAATACCCAAAAAATACCCACAAAATACCCAAAAAATACCCACAAAAAAACCGACAAAATACCCACAAAACACCCAAGTGATCACCCAGGTAACTCCCAAGCAGCTCCACCCCTTATGGAGCCACAAAATACCCACAAAAACCTGATAAAATATCCACAAAATACCCACAAAATACCCAAGTGATCACCCAGGTAACTCCCAAGCCTCTAGGCTATTGTCTCCTGCTCAGCATCTTCCTTCCCCATTATTTAATCAGAAGGGGCACAAAGCACTCGCTCTTGTTGTCAAAAATGAAGATTCAACAAACACCAGCTAAGCTAAGTTACCTCTGAAAGGTGATCAAACACAAACAGGGCTTTAGAAAAGCTTCATTCCGTCTGAATTACATAATTAAAACAGAGTGACAGCACCGTGAAACAACATCGGCCTGAAAGGCTGTTCATAATTCATAAGCAACTTCCTTTTCATCTCCTTTGTGCTCTTCTCCAAGTACTGTTCTTCCCAGAAGCTGACAGAGGAAGGAATATGGACGATGATCTCATTAATTGCAGGCACTAATATGCAGTGAGCTGAGAAATTACACGGAATTTCAGGATATCTACTCAAGAGGACGGAAAACTTCTTTTAGGTTCAAAGGCAAATAATGCCTGTTGGAGCAATAGGACAGAGCTGCAAAAGAAATTGTTTCAAAATTGCATGTTTTCGTTTTGCTTTTTGCTTTTAATAGTTATTATAGTTTAGAGTTATTATAGTTTAAGTATATATATATAGTTATTTATATAGTTATTTATATAGTTATTATAGTTTAAGTAGTTCCTTGGAGGTGTGAAACTTTTGCCCCTTTCTCCAGGGGCTGGGCACTTTACATGGAGACACGAGATGGTTTTTGGGCTCACAGCAGAACAGCTTTTGGGGCACAGGAGCCTCACCACAGCAGCATGGACACCCATTTCCTTCTCCTGTCACTCCATTCCCCCAACACAGCCCTTGCAAATCAGAGCTGCTCACAGCCCAGAGCCCGGCCAGGGTCACCACGAGGGTCTCCAGAGCAGCCTCGTGGCCAGAGCAAAGCCAAGGAACACTCACTCGCATGCTGGTAAGTTCCTCAGGGCTGCTGAGCATTAAACTAACAGAATTTGCCATCCCAAATCAGCTTAGGCCCAGTTCAGCAGCTGCCTCGGGGCAGGGTAGCAATTAGAGACCAGATTATCCAG